AAAAAAAAAAGAATGGCAGAAGATGGCATTGTAAGTGCCACACTTCTCTTTGGTGTGACCTCTGCTGGTGGCATTATGGAATTGTTTTAAGTCATTTTAGACAACACACTCACTGTGGATCCGCTTTCAAGTATTGAGTTGTCAGTTTTTGAAGAAATGAATTTTGAGGTGGTGTGGGAGAAAATGCATCTTATAAAATGTTATGATAAAGGCTATCATTGACCTATGATTAGTAGGAGTTTTAAGTATGTTATTAAAAATCTAATGGGCAGTTAAGGGAATTACTAAAGAGAAGTTTATGAGCCTACCAGATTTCAATGTAGATTTTGCCTTTATGAGCTTAAAAGAAGAGGTTACAGTTTAAGCTTGAATGGAAGAGCTTGCCACTGTTATTCCACATCTAGTTATTGCTGTTTACATTCCTTTGTGGAACCTACATCTTCATAAGCTTCTTAGCAGGTAAATGTTGAACACTTCTGCTTCATTGTCAAGGCAGAATCAGAGGCCATCTATACAGGCAACTGACTTGTCTGTTTTCTTGTCTTTTTCCATGACTTATCTACTGCCTCATCTTGATTTATAAGCAAAACTGAAAACCTACAAAATGAATGTTTTGTGGTTTATCTAGAAATAATACAGAAAATAATTGCTGTTATTTTTGGTGAAGAAAATTTTGTATAGTTTATTTCAATCTAAATAAAATGTGAATTTTGTTTAAAGTTCAAGTACATTTATTTTTAGAGGAGTCAAAACATTCCAGCAGTAAGTTCTCTCTCTTTTTTTTTTTGGTACCAGGGATTGAACTCAGGACCTTGCGCTCGCGAGGCAGGCAGTGGCACCACTGAGCTAAATCCCTGGTCCTGTCTCTTAAATTTTTATTTGGTAATGAGCTTTACAATGTTCATAATTCAAGATGACTTCATCTTTTATGGGGATTTTTGGTTTTTATTTGTTTTGGTACTTGGTTTACTATTGGAGGTATAGGAAAAGATACTTTAATTAAAACTAAGAAATTGCTAAATGCATGACTTACCTACCTGGTTTTTTAAATAATATATATTGTACTATATGGCTCGTGGTGTAAATTTTCAGGGTTTATGTTATTGCTGGTTAAAATGTTAATGAATTGGGCTGGGGATTTAGCTCAGTGGTTCTGCCACCTGCCTCACAAGTACAAGGTACCAAGTTTGATCCCCGGTACCAGAAAAAAAATGTAAATGAATTAATTGCAGAGCTACCATTAGGTTGTTTTATTTTGGAGTGTCACTTGAGCTTCAGAAAGCAGAGGATGCATTTGCTGGAGCCCTGGGTCTGAAATCAGAACACCTAACCCATGGAGAATTTTTTTAAAAAGCTTACAGAAGCCTCTGTCCTTGGCAGAAACAACTGATCAAGTTCATGATGGCAGTATAACAGTGAATGACACAGTTGGTCCCTTAGTACTTTCATCCAGTTGTTAGGGCCACTTGAAAATGGTGTGTCCATAGCAGATTATTTAACCCCAGTCAGTTTCAACTATATAGCCTACCTTAAGGTTGTGCTATGAGGGTTAGGTAATTTTTGTCATCAGTACCCTCTTGCTTCTTTAATAATAGCCCCAAACTTACTGGCTTGAAGAGACAGCTTATCATTTCTCTCAGTTTTTTGAGTTGGTTAGGTGATTCTTTTGTTAGTCCCACTTGGGTTTTCTGCATTTGGCTGGCAGATTGGCTGCGAGTGTGGGAGGCATGGCTGGATCATATGGTCCTTTATCTTGGGCTCATGTCATGGTGATCCTAGAGTACCAAGAAGTCGAAGACAATACTTTCAGGACCCGAGCTTAACTCACCAGAACATCACTTCACCACGTTCTTATCAAAGCAAGTTGCTTGGCCAGCCTGGATTCAAGAAGTGAGGAAATAGACTCTCTTTGAGGAGATTGTCTGTAAAATATGGCCTTGTGTTCAGTCCACCACAGCCTGGAATCCAAAAACATTTAGTCAGCAAGTATTAAGCCTTTAAGGTGCCCATCATTTATGTTTATAACCTATGTATATTTTCTAGTTTGGGAATCTGTTGAAAGTTTAAATACTCCTAATTTGTTAAAAGGCATTTTTATAACCTGATCCTTGATGGTAATTTTGGTGGTAGTCTCAGATGAAACAAACTGTCTTTTGCAAGATTAGATAGTTGGAAACTTGTAGTTGTGCTGACTATTCATTGTTCACAAGTATTAATTAAATGCTTGCTATTTGTCAGGCTTCTCAACTAAGTGTTGGCAATTCTAGATGCACTTTCTGCCTCAGAAGAGCATACAGCCAAGAATTGGCCCACGGATTCATCAAAATCAAAGGAAAGAAAACTGTCTATGAAAGACTTGTGCAGTTAAAAAAAAGTTCTGTAGCAGATCTAAACAGTTTGCAAAATGCAGTAGGAGCTGTAGTCAAGACAACATAATTAGAGGAATGGAAGGCTAGTGTAGGCAAAGGATATGGTGTCTATAAAATAAATGAGAACAAATCCTTTAATCATAATTTTGTGTAATTTTCAGTTAATTCTTAGGATAACTAGTGAGATAAATAAATTGAGTTGAAAGAACCTTTCTCTGGAGGCCAGCTCTTCTACAGTAACTTAGCTGGATCTGATTTATTTTTTATTTTACAACAATCACTTTTTAAGTGCTAAAGTGAGTAATCCATAAAACAGGAAAATTATACTTGCAGTATTAATATTTATATGATATTTTAGAAAGTTTATAAAGCACCTTGATTATCTCATTCAAGTTCTCAGAAAAACTCAGGCAGGTATCCCCATTTTTCAGCTGACAAATCAAGCTCACAGAAGTGAATTAATTGCCTCAAATTATATAGTTAATAAGTGCCAGAGCCAGGTACTTCAGTACAGGGTTTCAATCTTAAAATTGATTGTGAAAGCCACTTCATTCTTAAGGTTTGTAAGAGAAATATTTGCTTTGGGAATGACCTTTTTTATGTTCT